CCATCTCTCACCCCCCCAGGGGTGCTGGGAGCCATTGACCCAAACGGCAAACCCTGTATATAATGGAAACCACTTCAAGCCAGGGGCTGCGACCGCCCCCACAACCCCCCTAGTTCCCTCCCCCCCACAACCCAACCTCGGCTTCAACACCAGTGTTCTCTCCAGCTCCCCCCCCATTCCATCTCCCTCCCACCACCGTATTCATCTACACCCTGGCTGGTTAACACCCCCTTTCCCCCCTTACCTGGGGAGTCTGGCAGAAACAGGAGATCCCCTAGGCTGGCTGGGCTGCTCAGGGCCTCGCCCTGGCTGGGTTCCTTTGGGCCTGGCTCTCCCCTTGGGAGTCCCTCCTCGGATTGGGGAGGAGCCACCTGAGAAGGCAGGTGTACTATTAAGGGCCCTGACTGTACTGTGCAGCCGTGGCCAGTAGGTGGCAGTGTTGCTCAGCTCCCCACTAGGTACAGCGAGGCCAAGCATAGGGCAGGAGCAATTCCCCAGTTCCCTGGTGGCCCAATCCTAAGGGTTCGGGCCCATGCTGGGCGTGTGTAGGCAGCAAAGCAGCGGGAGACACAGGCTTGCAGGGCCAGGAGGAGATTCCATCTGAAGTGTTTCTATAGCACCTGCCACCCTAGCTTTCATCTGGGGACCGAGCGAGTTCGTCTGGTTAACGCCAGCGTTTCATCTCCCAGGCATCTGGGTCGGCTTGCTGATCAGCGCCTTTATCCCAGCCATCTGCTCCGTCATCTACATTGGGCAGATGAACTGGAAAAGGGCCTCCGAGGAGGTAACCAGCTTTACTTTAGTGTATTGCAGGTTATATCTGGCATGTGTACAAGTGGGGGTGATGGCGCAGACCTATTAGTGACACATCTTCGGGTCCCTGAATAGCGGTGACTTAGACAGCAGCAGTGGGCTCAGTGCAGCCCTTGGGTGAGGTTCTCGGCCCTGGTATGCCGCCATATTGGCCACTCCTGCCTTTAACAGCTCTGACTAAATATTAATGTTAGAATCACGATGACTGGCTAACACTCGTCACCGTATCTATCCCTCCTGACTAATCAATAATCAGTTACTCCTTTAGGGGCCTCCCCAGTCACTCTTCTCAACGCGTTAACCACGAGTGGGGCCGCTCTGTTCCCATGGCAGGGAGCCAGCTGGCCATGCGGTTAAAGGTGAAGGGAAGGAAGGCCTCTTCCCGGCCCTGTTCTGAGTTCCACGGAGCTCCTGCAACCTTCGCTGCCAGCCTGAGCACACAAAGCCCAGCAAAAGGTGCCAGACCCCGCACCGCTGAGTGCTTCCATGTTGCAGGAGAAGGCTGGACAGCACCATGAAAACTGATCTGTAGCTATTTTGGCTTAATGCAAGGGGTTTGTGTAGCCCGTGGTTTGGGCTCCTGCTAGTTTTTCATATATAGTTGAAAGCAGTTCAGGTCACCTCTAACTCACTGGGTCCTTGTGGGGTTTTAATGCCAACTCTGGCTAGAGAGCTCATGAGCAAACCAGTTTGGATAAAACACACACAAGCAACTTAAACCTCTCAGCCCTTGGATACTTTTTGGTCTGGCGTTGCTCTCTGGGTTCTTCCTTTACTCACAACATCCACGCCAGTAAAAGCTCCATATTAATGTCACACAAATCTCAGGGCCGGGCAGTAATAGCTCCTGTGAGACAAACTGTATATCTGAAAGGTGATAGTAAAACTTGCTTTGTAAGACAAATCCATTTTCCCTTCCCACCTGCTGCATACAACAGTGATCGTCTGAGTACTGTACAGTGTGTTTATGTTCCTAGGCTCAGCAACGGGCAGGTGTGAGCCAGTTGGCCGGCAAGGATTTGAACTCAGCTCCTGTCTCACACAAGATGGCGCTCCCCTCTGGTAGGGAACGGGGTTGATTTACTAATGGCTTAATATTGTGAGTAGGGTGACCAGACAAGAAGTGTGAAAAATCAGGACGGGGGTGGGGGGGTAATAGGAGCTTATATAAGAAAAAGACCAAAATTCAGGACTGTCCCTATAAAATCCAGACATCTGGTCACCTTAATTGTGACCTGCAGATGTTCAGGTAGCACATATATGACTCCTGAGTAACTGAAGCGCTGCCCAGTGGGTAGCTAACTAAAATCACTCCCGTTCTCGGCAAGTATGTGTGCACGTGTCTAAGCAGTTTGGGGGAAGCTGCTTTTAAGTGAGTTGATTATATAATGCGTAAGAGCAGCATTACCATGCTCTGCACTAGTTACAGTGCAAGCCACGCTAGGGCTAGTGTTAGGAAAGGAACCCTCGAGTCCCAGTGTGGAAACCTGACATACCTGCAGGGAAACTAAGGGTGTCGCCGCATAGCTCTGGGCTGAGTGGACTCTCGCCCGTGCTGGTTTTGAGCTGCTGTCTCTCAACCCATGAAGATCTAGGCTGCTCCCCAAGTGGAATTTCTAGGCACCAGCAGCAGTAGGCTGAGCCCAGAGCACCTGGGAGGGTGGAGCCTGTTCCCTTCTGCAGCAGGCCTGCAATCCAGCTTATCTTAAAACAATAAATGGGTTTTAAAGAGCAGAGACAGCAAAACCCCTCCTACTTCTAATAAGTGCTTGGTCTGCTCAGCTCTATTTTCCTTTGCACCATGTACTGAGGGGCGGGCACAGGAGGGAAACACCAGCTAGAAGAATGGGAATTGAGGCATAAAGGCAGAAGAGGTGGGGATCATCTGGGTTGTAAGGAAGCAGTTTAAGGACAGTGCTCCCAGAGAGACATCTTCAGCATTGAGCCAGGGAGCAGTTTCATTTGTGAAGTCTCTGCCGGCTATCCTAGCGCTGCCAGCTGGCAACTCAGTTCTACAGCCTGAGCAGTACCATTGCCCCCCCCTCCCCGCTGTGTTGCAGTGGAAGCAGAAGCCCTGAACGGCGTTGTTCTGACGCGCATCACTCAGAACGAGGGTCAGACGTACCAGCTAACGCTCCAGGAAGCCACGCCTGCCCTTTCCACTGTGGGTGAAATGCTGTCTGTGAAGCAGCTAATCATACGGCGCGGGCTGGCCGTCACCGGAGCTATTGCGGTACTCGCAGTAGGCATTCTAATAAGGGTCATTACTATCCACCACTAGCATCATGCTAGGGGTGGGGATAAAGGGAAGGAGACCCCTTCTGGCTCACGCGGTAGCTGAAACATGGACCCAGCTACAGACGACTAACACTCCACAGGTCCTACTGTCACAGCAAGGGCAAAGATCCCACTTCATCCGAAGACTAGAACTGACCAGCACTATGAGTTGCTCTACATGGTGCCCTTGGAAATGGCCACAGGCTGCTATGGGAATCTCATCCCACAGCTGGCTGAACAGGCTGGAAATACTTAGGAGGACTGCCCTCTCTACCCGCAGCAGCTTCTCCAGTGCAAGCAGTGATAACTTATCACCACCGTGAACTTTTATTGCTTGTAATCAGATAGCAGCAGCAATAGCTTGTGTGTGTACAGGACTGCTGGCATGGTGATTAAATGGCATTTAATGATGAATAAATCTCTCAAGCTGCCAGTGAGGGTATTGCAATAGCTCCTCTGGTTTGAAATTCATGTTAGTGTTTGGCTGCCACGGCAGAAGACAATCCCTGAGCTCTAGTTAGCTGTGAACCTCTTCAGAGCATATTCTCCATCTCTGCTCTCAGAGTGGGGTATCTGCTTCAGATGCATGCTGCCTGAAAGGACTGCTCCATAGGGGGAGAGACAGTAGTCAGGGAAGGAACAGCTTTCCAAAGGAGTTTGCATTAGCATCAAATCATTTGACACAGGAACAGTGTGTGCAGATCTCATTCTTCCTCACCTCACGCCTCTCTATGGGCCGGGTGGAGATTTCAATAATAGGGGTAGCTCTAGCATGAAGCTTCCAGTAGAGTTTTGCTGGCTCCCTCCCTAACCTGTAGTCATACCCAGCACCAGGCTATACTAACAGACAGAGCATGAAAGGTTAATATCTGTAATAACTTACCCCTCAGAGCACTGTTCACCTAGAGGTCAAAGGGCTTTTTCTGGGGGGGGGGGAAATATTCCCAGTTTACAAATGGGGAAAGTCGGGTGAAGAGCCTTGCCTGGAACCAGTGGCAGAACTGCACATAACCCCGGTTTCCTGACTCCCTCTCAGGTACTTCTCTCTACTGCCTCCTCTATTGAGCCAACAAAGCTCCATTCATTCTTGTTGGTCAGTCAGCGTTTATTTAGTACTTTCAAAATCTATTTAACTAAACAGCATACATTTCCAGCTACTGAACAAAAGGCAAATAATTTTTCAATATAAATTCTTCAGTTAAATTTAATAGTATATCAGGTTATTTTCCTTATTGTTTAAAAATATTTGTTTTAAAAAGTTGGAACCTCTTCCAGTGCTTAAGTTTATCCAGTCTCTTCCCCTTCAGCTGAAATAGGTCCCTTGTTAATTAACTGGTGTCTTCATAAGATTAGGTATACTTCACTTGAAAGTATGTTCTGGCTTCTCTCCAGCAGCAAATGGAAATATGCCAAGAGTGAATTCTTTAGTTCCTAATGCTCTAAACACAGCCCCTGCATCACAAAAGGCAAGCCGGGCAGATAGGAGCACAGGTGACTGCAGCATTACAAGACAGATACCTTGCAACCCTCTAACAGTTGTAGCAGGTCTTTCACTTTGGAAGCTGCAGCTAGTTGACTGTGCGGTCAGATTAAATCACAGGGCTAACGAGTGGACAATCTTTTTTTTCTGGGGGAGATTCTAGGGATACATGTCCTGGGTTAGAAGGTGAGCAGCAGCCTCAATGTACATTTAGTCAGAATTAGTCTTGAGTATTAGTAAAATCTGTCTCCACCACACCAGAAAGGAAGACATAGAAGACTAATTACAAGGTGTGGAAGATACTTACTACAACACTAGGCAGATACCATAAAAGGGAAGTACTCTAAAGAAAATGTATCTGCCCATTAAGATGTAAAAAGGCTACCTCTGTTTTATTTTGGGCTTTTACTCTTTACATTAAGTGTATCAGGTCCTGATTTCCCTCTTTTTGGAGGACTCTGGAAAAATCATTGGAGGAACTGAACGGTGATGGCTCCCAGACTGAAATGTAAGCCCACGTTCTACTTCTCCAGCAAAGACTGGGTGAGCTCAGGAGGTGACAGTCCTGAGAAGACATAAGCACGGTCTTGATACAGCATGGAGTAGCAACGGAGGGTGCTGCTGCTTCCTGCTTTGCAGTTCTCTTCTCGCTGGTTGCATGACCAATACTTTATGCCCACTGCTGCATTAATCCCTGTATTGCCGCATGGCTTTTCAAATCAACACGAAGTGCTAGCCCCAGCACTGTTACGAACTAGTGCATTCTTACTTTACTTCTCATTGCTTTGTGCCCTTAATATTTCATAGAAAAAAAGTAAAACTCTCAAGTTGAAAAAGGTCATTACATAAAGTGTGCGCTCAGAGTACGAGTACTGCGGATTGGTTATAGCAGGTCAGGTCACTTCTTTTCTTCAAGAGTAGGCCACCTGTGAAGGCAAAGAAAGATCTTGTATAACTTCAGCAGAGAGATGGAATAAATTCCAACTCCTAGATATTAACAAAGGTGGGTGCGCATTCCCCACTTGAACAAACTCTGGATCCAACAGGCACTGCTTTCCCTGGCCCCCTTGTCAGTCTCTTATTCCCTATTCTCACCCCCTTTTGACTCTTGTTTTGAGTACGGTGTAGAATCCACAGCCTAGATGCTGCATGCAAGAGAAGAATCAGCTGTTCACAACCCCATGTGAGCTGGCTGTAAGGGTCAAGAGTCAGAGTGATGGACAGAAGGAAAGCCTGCTCACTCCACGCAGTACCCACATCCACGACTCTGAAAGATTCCCCCCTCTACAAGCAGGGTCTGTAATATGACACACAAGGAAAGTCCTCTCTTGCTTCAGCAGGACTAGCTGGGCTTTGAAACCTGCTGCTTCTGAGCAATGACTGAGCCAGCACACAGTGTCTGCACTGCCAAGACACCACACAGGGCTTTTCTCTTCAGCACAGGCCACTGATTCTGGGAAAACCCAAACGTCGCCCGCTTCACTGAGCCGGCACGTAACGAGGTGCGGGGAAATGGTAGAATAAGGTTTTATTTCAAAGACAGAGTTGGTCACAGACTGGCACAATAGTTTAAGAGGGACCTCATCTCATAATGCATGGTAACAAAGAATTCGGGAAGGGACAGAAAACCGTGTGCTTCGGGGCTCAAGCCAATCTCTGACGAGTGGAGACCTAATGTGGGCAACGATTAGCCTGCAATTGCCTGATGTGGGGATCTTGCATCTCCGGCTGGCCATGGTCAGACAGGATACGGCACTAGAGGGACAGTGGATGTGATCCCCAATGGTGATTCCAATTCAACCAGTCTTTACTGACATGCTGATCTAGTATTACTCTTCCCCTCCGCCCGCAAGTCTACCCAGGCTGTGGCAGGAAAGATTCACAAGTTAGGGTTGACATTATGCTGTGTGGCATGACAGCACACCCAGCCCCTGGTTACCCTCACTTCCCCCAAGGCAGCGTGTAGTGCAGAGGTAGGCAACCTGTGGCACGCGAGCTGATTTTCAATGGCACTCACACTGCCAGCGTCCTGGGCACCGGTGGGCTCTGCATTTTAATTTAAATTTAAATGAAGCTTCTTAAACATTTTAAAAACTGTATTTACTTTACATACAACAATAGTTTGGTTATATATTATAGACTTATAGAAAGAGATGTTCTAAAAACATTAAAATTATTACTGGCACGCGAAACCTTAAATCAGAGTGAATAAATGAAGACTCGGCACCACTTCTGAAAGGTTGCCGACCCCTGGTGTAGTGCCTGGTTTGCTGCACTATTGGAAGTTGTTCATTTGGACTTTTAAAGACATTCTGTATCATGGACCGTCTTGAATCCTCCATCTACTCCAAACTGCAAGAGTTTCATGCCACCCAGACAGCCCTGCTCCCCCTCTCCAGAGCTTGACAGCACCTCTGGGAGGGAGGGAGGGAAGTAGCCCCCATCCACATGGGGAAGTGATTTGTCCAAGGTTACATGGGCTGTCTGCAGCAGAGCCAAGAGCCAACCTTCCCCTCCACAGTATCCCTGTAAGCAATGTGCAGCTACAAATGCCACACATTCAGTTCGTTAGCCAGGCAGCCAACTACTCCCAAAGAAAGCTCTAATGGGGAAAGAGTGGTGGAAGCAGCTCTTGCAGATCCCATCTAGCCACGTCCCAACCCGTTCTTCAGGAGGAGGACTCAGTTTCTCACACGTTACCCAGCAAATTAGAGCAATAATGGCCTAGCAGACTAAGAGGATTTGCCCAAGGATCAGCTCAGCCCTGTTACCGGTCTGGATCCTGCTAGCCTAAGTGAGATCGAAGCAGATTTGAGGGCTTCTGGCTGGCCCTGCTTTCACACAGATCTCAGCTCAAAAGTTACAGTAGACTAGCTTCCAGGAGAGGAGCAAGGCTGGGAAATGGGACCTCCATGCGCTAACTGGGCTCAGAAATAAACCTTCATTGAAAACACACAATGGTACAGAAAACCAGAGCCCCAAAGCTCACCTTTATCACCGCAGCCAGGATGGCTCCCAGCAGGGCCAGGGCAATGAGCCCCAGGCGGCCTTTGTTAAATCGCTTCAAGAAGAAGAACTTGGCCCAGTCCAGCTTCCTCTGACTGTTTGGCGGGTACCGGATTTTGTTCACACTTTCCATCGTCAGAGACTTAATTAAGCAGGAGCGGCGATGGGAGAAGGTCTCAAAGCTGTGTCTGCCATGGTAGTTGCCCATTCCACTGTTCCCTGAATGTGTCAACACACACACTAGTTAGCATGCAGTTGGTTGGGCAAGTTAATCCGTTGGGCACATCCAGGCTAGCAGTGCCAAAGACACAGAATATGCACCGTAGACAAGTTCCTTTCGAAACCCAACTCCTCTTCAGTAACCTGCCCTTTGTCAAACCTTCGGGGGTCTAAGTCCCGTTCTCAGAGAACAGGTGTCTGCACCACACCGGGACCCCTTGATGGCACTCTCAGCAGAGGGACCAAGGACTGAATGGGCCTGGAAACGGAGTTAGCGGCTCATCCGCAGAAGAGGTCATTCCAGGCCAGGATGGAGGAATGTTGGTGCAGCACATGTGGGTGTGCTGGAAGCTGCCTATGGGTGCGTGTCTACCTGTTCTGAGGATAAATGGGGGGAATTCAGGCCAGCACCTTTCTACGGGAACCTGCTGTCTGTATTTATTTAAGAAGGATGAGGGGCCACCTGCTGTACAGAACTCCAAGGCTCTGATCAGTCACGTGATCATTAGAAAGAACTAGTGGCTAAGATACAGAGAGCAGGACTACACAGCACACTCATGGTTTATTACACAGAGTTCCTGTAACTCACCGACTCCACCGAAGGGCAGATCTGGGAGAGTGTAATGCATAATGACATCGTTTGCAGTGACACCGCCGCTGGAGGTCTCCGATATCATCCTTTTGATCAACTAATAAAACACAAACAGACGATACAATGCTAGATAACCTACCGGCTGTGTTTAATATAAAGTTTTAGAGGGATGATCAACACCGTGATAGAAACTATCTTGACAAAGAAATTTAGGGATGATGGGAACCCGCTCATCAAGTTTACTACCTGTGGCTTCAGAAATGTTCTGTTTCTCCAGACATTTAATGGGGACATTTTTTTGGAGGTGGAAGTCTCCAAAACAGCACCATGTAGTGTTCACGTAGCACCCAACATTTTCCTTGGCCTCTTGTCAGATTACAGCATTGTGATGAATGCTTTAAGATCACCACTATAGAGTCAAGTTTTAGAAATGTTTAAAGGGACAAATATTTCAAAGCTAAATGCAGTGAGAATCAAGAGGTGAGAACGGGTGGCTGATCAGGGTTACATCACACAGCTCCGGAATTCAGCTGGTAATTCGTCAGCCCTGACTAAGGAAGGTTTGAAAAGTTCCCCTGAGAGAACTCAGAGACTGGCCAACTAAGGAAACGCTCTAATAAGCCACCCGTAAGAGATGCAGGTTTTATATGGTTATAAATGTAATAAAATCTCAGCTGTATTCCAAGGGCTGGCAAGCAGGCTAACTAGGGCCAGGTGTCACCATGAAGAAGTTGGTGCTGACTGCACAAGATCCTTTGATGCTCAGACTTTGAGATGCCTGATAACTGTCTTTTGCAGGAGGAGCTACCCTTTGTACAGAGTCTTAATACTCTGCATTAACAGAGTTCTTTCCTGTTTTAGAACTAGGAGTTCAGATTCAAGATGACAAATTCTCTTAGCTACACAAGTACAACCCCACGGCCCTCAATGGAACTGCACCAGCAGCTGGGTTAAACTTCGCTTTCCCAGGCAGACAGACACACACACCCCTTTCCCTTTTGCTTATAATGTATTTGGCTTAATCACGTTCTCACTAGCAATAGCCGATTCAGTGATCTGTACAAGATCTGTACTAGCTAGAATCTTTGCAAGTCCAGAGGCCACAACTTGCCTAATATTGTAATTAAAGATTACCAGCCTCTGTTACTGACTGTGTCCTTACCTGAGCTAGTATTTCAGTCTCTGCTACGTTGCCAAGCTACACATTCTTACATAGCACTCTTCTGGTGGTGTATGAACAGGCCTGACCTGTTTCGAGAGCCCGGTCACCCTGAGCTATTATGACGAGCACTGGAGTGGTGGGAAGCCACTTGTCAAAATGACCCATCTATGTTGTGTTCCCACCTGGGTGTGAGGGCAAAACAGATTGATTTAATCTGCCACCATTAAGGATAGGGGAGTTCCAGAAGCTTTGGGAATATCAGATTCCAGAGGACCCAAGAGCTGGGATTTAACAGGAGCTAAAGCCAAACACACTTAATGAAGCTATGCCAAGGATGAACCTGGCTCTGTGTTTATAATATGCAGGGCAGAGTTGTGTGTCCAACTCTGGAGCCCAGGACCTACCTTTTTATCATTGGAAAATAAATAAAGGGCGAGCGGCTTCTCCCGCTGATTTATGAACTGAATTGCTTCATCTGCACTCTTTATGGTCACGATTGGAAGGAGGGGGCCAAAAATCTCTTCTTTCATGATCTTGGATTCTGGGCTAACATCAGTGAGTATAGTCGGGGCTACGACAGACAGGGGAGAAGACTGAATTAGGACACAGGGAAATAAATGCTCTGCTCAGGAAGCCCCACCCACTCTCCTGCATCTAGCACAGCTAGTATCCCCATCTCAATTTTCAAAGAAAATAAACGCCGTTTTGTTGCTCTAGTCAGGTGGGTACGTAGCCCGTAGGGCCAGAGTAGCCTTATTTCACTAGCAGTAATGCAAGGAACCTACAGGCCTGCATCCTGGCAGACACTGGCCTAAGCAAGTT